CCTTATCTCGTCTTTTCTCAATTCCTTCATTCTATCCTGTGACCCCCTCCCAATCCTTGGTTACAAGGGGGGGGGGTCCGGGCGCAAAATAATGGTGTAGCTCAGAGGGCATGGCAACCTCTCTAAAGCACAAGCTGTACTCGTGTCTGCCTCGGATCGGCATGGGCGGCGGGTGCCTTATCAGAGCACGAGGGTTAGAGTACCAGATCTTGTCTGCATAGACGGGGGAGGGTGCATAACCATCTGAACTACAGAGTAACAGAAATGTTCCAAAATTCAACCCCTGTTACAATGGGAATGGATTCGTAGTGGCATGTAGCGACGCCCCTGGCGGAGAAGAGGCTGTCTTCTACCTGTGACCTTCGCACGAAACTTGCGTATGACCATCGTTATTCACCCGGCCTCACGGGATACGGCGGATCGGACGGCAGCGTTGAGGACGCTATGATTATGCTGAAAAGTCCCTCGAATGCGTGAGTAGTGGCGGATGGGAACGGGTAGTGAATTGGTTGCTCCTACTCGAGTATGCTTTGCACGTAGGTGTAGGCTGAGCTCGATTGGAGGCTTTTACCGTAGGCGGTACTCCCTAGAGGGGTGGTTAGCAATTCCACTTTAAACAAAACCGTGGCCGGAGCGGATCCGGTAGTTTCTACGCTAGAGAAGCCCCAATACTCTGGGAGATAGAGTGGCCTTCTCTATCTAGGGAGTGCGCGGGAGACCGGCTGATGTATTTCGGCTTAGATAGCCCTATGCGCGCGGCATGCGGTCTGATGCTTAATGCGGCCAGACCACTCGGAATGGGCAAGCGGGGAGCGAGGTTGTCTTGACCCTTCGGGGCTGAGCTGCCTCTACACCAATGCAGTAACACCATTCTGTCGTATGCGGAGGTGCGTCAGCTCTCATCTGGAGAATCAAAACGTCCGATAAGGCCGAATAGGCTAGGTGCGGACGTTAATGATCCTAATTGTCCTTTTTAGGACGACCGAGTATACGGGAAAGACTGTTCTGTTTATCTCTACCCACAGGGTCACCTTCCTTATGGGTCCAGGCAAAGTCCGACCATCAACCGTGCCAGGGGGTAACCAATGATGGAGGCAAATTTACCCCCTTACCTTCCTACACCTTTCCTTCTTTTCCTTACCCCCTCTGCTTTGGCAGAGGCTTCCTGGGTTACTGAACCCGCACCCCTCAGGCAACGGGTTCATCAGTAGGGGGTTCGTATGAACTCCCGGGTTGGCGATCAGGCCCACCTTAAAAATAATACTGAACCACTGAACGAGTAGAGTACCCAAGCGGCTCGACTAATTGAGGTTGGACCCTTGGTGGTCGTGGTTTGCAAACATATTGTACCTTAGCTGGAGGGTACCGGCCAACGGGAACCGGAGATAGAGTGCCTTCTCTGTCTCTCTGGGGGTCGTGAAAAGCACAGCTGAAAGGTCGTGCTGAAAATCACAAAACTGCCTTTTTCAAGGCACATGTATGGATGTACCCTTTTTAGGGCTCTTCTGAACTTGGTTACCATTGCACCACCTCGCTAGCCAAGAGATGTGACAAGTCCATGCATGTAAAACTTCCTAGTGTTCCCTTTGAGAACACTGTGCCTCTGAGAAGTCCCCTCGGAGATAAGTTCGGACGTTAAAGATCCTCGTGGGTCTCAACACCCATGAGTAAAGATGGGAACATCTGTTCTGTTTATCTTATTTATTTCACTGAGGCGCTTCTCCTGAGCTTCCTGACTAATATTACGGATAGGATTTGTTCTTGATGAAAATAAGAATGAGACGTATTGAACGGGGTTTATAATATATCCGTAATAAAATAAAAACACAACCAAGTGTAATTAACACAAACAAACAAATATATTTACTGAACTTTCTAATTCTAGTTTTTGAAGATATGTACTAACGGCCAAGCGTTCAGGTACATCGTGACTATTTTTAATAGATTGCAAAGAATCCGGACTGAGAATTTTTTCGGCTAAAAAATCAATGAAAATAAGATCTTTAATTTCTTTTTCTTCAATGAAGAATTTTTTAGTGATTAGGAAGCGAAATCAAATCAGTTTTAGTTGTCAAATTGAATCTTTCCACATAGAGATTTCTTACTTTCTTAAGAGATTCTAAATCAAACTTCATTTTTGCAAGAATTAATGTGAAGTTTTACAATAAATGTTATTACAATGTAATTTTTAAAAAAATTGTTTAATAATATAAACAAAAGTTATTTTACCTTGTTTTGTTTCCCACAGGTGATTAATTGTACAAATATTGCTTCTAACAAAGTTCATTTTTCTCTTTAGAGCAGCTTATTTCACAAAACAAACCTTTTTTTTTAATGTGAAAAATTATATTTTGTTTATTAGGCAGGATTCATAGAGGAAGCCAAATAGTTTCTCTATGTTACTAAAACTGTCACCTAGTATTGTTTTTAAATTATTTGCGAGTTTGAACCTATTTCTTAAGTCTGTGTATTTTTTGCATGTTATTAAAACATGTTTAACAGTGTTTATTTCTCCGCAATCTGGACACAATGGATCAGGCTCCCGGGACATCAAGCGACCATGCGTCAATCGACAGTGCCCTATCCTCAGTATAGCCAAAGTTGTTTCTTCTTTCCTGGATTTTCGTAAGGATGTGTCCCACTCTTTGACAGAACCCTTATTTTCCCGAAGTTTGTTATTCCTCACTCTCTGCCACTCGATTTCCCATTGTGACCATATAACTTTTTTTAATAAATGAATTAAAATCTTCATAAGGTACTTCAATTATTTTATGTCCTTCTGTTACAGCTTTCTTTCCTGCGCGGTCAGCTTCTTCATTCCCGATGATGTCACTATGACCCAGGATCCGTAAGAAGCACACGGACTGATTTTTAAATTTGTATGCTATCGTAAGAAAAATATCTTGTACTCTAGGATTAGTCGTGAAGAGGTTTTTAAGGGTACAGATGGCAGAGAGAGAATCGGAACAAACTATTACATTAGGGGACGTAGTCTCCCATGCTGAGACGTTTATTTATGGCTAGTAGTTCAGTTGTAAAATTACTACAGACCGTTGGTAAAGAGAACATCATTTTCCTATTGATACAGACAAATGCTGCACCCACGCCATCATCTCCTTTTGACCCATCTGTAAATACTAATGTTGAACCCTTATAAGAGCTTATTAATTTAAGGAATTCTTCTCTATATACGTAGACTGGGGTGGTATCTTTGGGAAAACGGTTCAAAGACAGATCTACGCTAGGGATGACATTAGCCATGGAGGTGTAGTGGCCACTTGTAGTTTCCGCGATACCGCTAGATGCCACTCTGCAGCCAATCAGCGTGGAGCTCTTCCCTATATCAGCAGGGGTACTAACTACTACCCCGCTGGAATCATACCTCACTAATACTCTGTCCGACGAGCTATCGCTAATGAAACACTGTCGACGACAGCAAGGGTACTAGCAGCATTAGTCTGATCTCGCCTTCTAAACAGCCAACTTAGCTATAAACGCCAACTGCTGCCCCTCGGCTAATTGCTGCACTCCAGTACCTTCGGCCTCTGTGGTGTCAACGGACTCAAGGCCCCCGGATCTTAGCCAACGGTTTATTCTGTCACACACCACAACCCAACGGCGCCACTCGCACGGTCTCAGCGTCATACCTTCATCACGGCTTCTCTAAACACAACACCGGCCCTTTTCAGGGGGTAAAAAAGGCTGAAATTCTAATTGCAAAGCGATGTGTAGTGGTATTTGTCACATCCCTTTCTGCGTAAGGAATGGGTTTTCGGCCAGGAAATAATTCTGCAAGAGGATGTGAGGAAACAGGGAGTGACCAAAGTTTTGTAAAATATTTAACCTCTAAGAGGCTACGTCTATATCGCAATGGAAGTTCTCCCCCTTCTACATATATGCTCCTGTCCGGACTGGAGCGGAAGGCTCCGATAAAAAGAAAAACACAATCAAGTTTAATTGACATAAACAAACAAATAGAACTCCACAAACATATTGGCAAAACTTGGATACAAAAAAAAATTCAATATTTATAAGAGAATAATCTCACCAACCTTACTCTATCGAACATCACTAACACTGAGCAAATCTGCCGAATGCTCAGCTGGTTCAAAGCCATCTTTTAATGTCCAGAGCCAACATAATTAATATTAACAAATGGTAACACTAATAAGGAAGAAATCAACAAAAACTTACCAAACGTTTTATTTTATTTATTTATTTAAGGAGACCCGGTCGGTGCCCTTAAAATTATAAACCCCGTAATGTTTCCCGTGGGTCAGTGGGGAAAAAAATCTCCCCCAACCTACCCTTTTTGTTAATTAACTCTTAGATTAATCGTCATTTCATTTAGAAAACAATTTCATCGTCACTAAGTCAAAAGTCAAACCTTATCACTGTCTGTACGCGTATGATTTACGTTTAATTTAATATTTTGAGTACGATGACCCTATCTTTGCACATTGTGCAAGTTGCGAACCTCAACCGCATCCCATTGATCATTGGAACTAGGCGACATCGGAAGTTAACTGAATTATTTTTTATTGACAAATTGACTGACATCTCTTGGTTCAGAGTGGTGGAGACAGTGGTAGGAGATAATATTGTCGTCCTCATCCTCGCCTCAGATTTATTTCTAATAGGTCAAACGCGCGCAATTTAAATCCATGCTCACGTTGAAATAAAAACTTGTATCTTGTAAGCGTAGATTTTAATCTAAACAACGAACCTTTTTCTCTCAAAAATTTGTAAAGCAAACCATAAAGCATAAAAATAGGGTTAAACTATGAAACAAGGGATTCGAAAACTTCTTTATTTTTACTCTTATTTATTGAAGATAGTAAAATATTGCTTGGTTCATTAAATAAGTCGTCGGTACAAATGTCCATCGACCTACAACCCATGACATCAATTTCTCCCTTCATCTCTGGATCCGTTTTCGATGCCCCCAAGTGACGAGAACGTTGAAAGGGCTGGGAGTCACATAAAAAAATACAAATAAATAACTTATAGGCATTCATTGCGTCACTATTAATTATTCAGCCGCTATATTGGCATAAATAAAGTTTACTACAATAAAAACTAAACTTTAACTTATTTAAATGTGATTTTCGGATAGTTTTACTGTCTAATATCTGGACTTGATTTTGTAAGGGTTTTAAATTATAACCCGATGTTGTCTAGTTGTTCAAGACCAGTTTCAACGGCTTCATCCATGTCGATTTTGTTCAATAGTTGTTGAATCTTTACTTGAACAGGCACTTCGATGGCGTCGACGATGATGTGCCGGATAATGTCCGGTAAAGTTCTCACGAAGAGGCTTATGATCATGTCCACTCCGGTACCTTCCATATCAACTCTAACTTTTCCCACGTTAAGGTCGAGATTCTGTAAGACTGGGTGTTCGCTCACGTCGATTGATTGCCTGACAAAAGCTCTCACTTGAAAATGATCCACCGTGAAGTTGGTCGTGCCCGTCTTGGATAGGTTCTTGTGAAAATTAATCTTCCACCTGCACCTCCCTTTCAAATCCAACGTCGCGAGTCGTATACCCAGATGGATCGTGCCTTTTTCCATGAACAATGTGACATTGCCTATTTTATGAAAATCCGATAGTCCTTCCAAAACGAAATTTGATATGTCTATCGTAAACGGATTGTACTTTAATTTGTAATCACGGACGTGGTACGGGTTGAACCCTTTCGTCTTGACGTACCTCCTTCCTTCTAGAATGGCCTGTTCGACCAGAGTAGAAGAACGGTTCAAGGACAGACTTTCTCTGAACGGTTTCGTTCTGTTGTTTATGTCCGACAACACTTTCTCGTTAATCTGTTGCAGGATGAAAGGTTTGACTCCCTCGAGCAAAATCGATGCCGAAGAGCTCATGATCCGTTTCAACAGAGTTCCGACCAAGCCAGGAGAATTAAAGTCGACAATCGCCTCGGTGAAGGACACGTCGAGGTTCGAATCAGTCGTGTAGACCTCTCCGGTGTCTCGAAAAGCAAATTCAGCTGTGCTAGACGCATCCACCTCAAGAAGGGTGGCGTTGAACTCTCCTCCGACTCTCGTAAACCAGTAGTTAGCAGAATAATTGCCTGTAATTACTAATCTGTTAACGTACACTGCAACGTAAATCTGAAACGGAAATAGTTCTATTTAATTTCTAAAAATAAAATAGTTTCATCTCAAATCTGATTCTGAAAGAATTCGTTTTAATGTGTATTTGACGTATCAAAACTGGAATTTCTTATAACCAGAATATGAAGTTATTTTAGAACTAGGAGAAAAATGTTTGTTAACTTTGGACAAATTATCAGGCGAGGAATTTTTTTTAAACATATCACGAGTATGACATATCAACAACAATGATAAAATATTAACACTAAAAGTCCTATTGTCGTGGGATGATTTGAAATTTCATTTTACTGCTGATTTAAGAAAACATCCCCCCGATAAAGTCGTTAACGTGATAAAATCTAATTGATAGCACCATAAAACATACAATCGTACCGACTCGTCATAACCGGCTGATCGAATAGGCTATAAACCGTCGAATAGCACTGCTGATGTCTTTTAAAGGATACGATTAAATCAAGAGGCATGAACGGACATAAACAAATAAAAACCCGAACGTTTTACATGAATAAAAATCGCAAATGGATTACCTGCATTTTGTCGATATTTGTGTTTATATGGTCAATAGTGACGTTCTTGAGGCCGTTCACCATGAGATTTGTAAATAATATAGGCGTTGTCCCGACGTATTTGCTCATGCTCGGGACGGGCAGAGGATCCGGGATGTCCGAAGCGGGCAAAACAACCGTACCTCGTTTTCTGTAGTGGACGATCACTTCACGGATCCTAGCAGACAGCCTTTGGTCCTCTGCTGGTAGAAACTCGTCCTCAGCAGCTGTAATTGATAAGAATTTAAAATTTGAAGCATACCCGGTATAAAATATAAAACAAGTCTTCTATCGAGTATGGCTATGTAAGCTTACTACTTGATCCTAGAAGCCAACTTGACAGATACTTTAAAAACAACATCTTCTCTATCAGCCCGCTATGGCACCGATTCAATGTATCCCAAGGAAATATCTTAGTACGCATCTTCTTCTTAGATTCCACCGTCCTTTGCTCTCATAAATATCCCTGTCATCAGAACCAGAATCCTTCAAACCCATGTCACTTTGTGTGAGCAGTGGTTCAAACTGCGGAAAGTGATAACATCTTTCATCCCACGAAGGATAACCATTGCAGCCATCATCAGTTCATCAACATTAGTTTACCCCTCCCATCAGCCAATTTAGTCCACTTCCTTGGGCTCTACTTTGACAAACGGCTTACATGGTACCGAACTCAGAAATGCTACCGCGTTGTAGACATCATCTAACGTTCTTGAGAAATTCACTAATTTCGTGGTCCGCTTGACCAATTAAACATTACAATTAATTAAAGTTTTTAGTTGAGATGAAAAAAAGCTAATGGCACGAGAGGGATTCGAACCCACGACCTTCGGCTAGATACGCCGCTGCTCTACCACCTGAGCTATCGTGACCTCGATCCACTCGGACATCAACTCCCCATCTCAACCCCACCTTATGAGTTTTCCCTCCTTTTGCCATTTTTCAAATGTCGTGTAATCGGTTTGGATTCTCGACGACAATTGAAATGGCGACGGAGAGCTTTAGTGAAGTGTACTTCATTTTAATTCATTAAATTCACTAATTTCGTGGTCCGCTTGACCAATTAATACATTACAATTAATTAAGGTTTTTAGTTGAGATGAAAAAAAGCTAATGGCACAAGAGGGATTCGAACCCACGACCTTCGGCTTGATACGCCACTGCTCTACCACCTGAGCTATCGTAACCTCGATCCACTCGGACATCAACTCCCCATCCCAACCCCACCTTATGAGTTTTCCCTCCTTTTGCCATTTTTCAATTGTTCTTGAGAAAAATGAGTGCTACTCCGGCATATTTCTGCAGATATGGCACTCGGGGTTGCTCTGTAAAGAGAGTCCTTAACCGACAGACCTTTCCAAGTTATCAATCGCACCCATCAATACTCCTAGGAAGTACCTTAAGAACCATCCTCTAAACACTATAAACCACAGACATTTCCATCCTTTCCTGGATAAGTCTGCCATCCTTTGCTTTCATAAAGATCCCGTTACTCAACCAGAAATGTCACTCTCACCCTTCACATGGCATACAATAGTCTGCCTCCCTCACCAAAAAATATATTCAGCTAGCTTTGAGCTATTGATAAACGACTTACATGAAGCCGACATTCGACTTAAAAGCCCAGTTTTCAACAGATTCAGACTTCTTAAAACACTTTTTGACAATAGATCAAAACTGACTCTGCACAACGGACATTGGGCATCGCTCTTTGTCTTCAATCAAATGTTCCACTCTCCAACTATCCTATCCAAAATTTTGTCCATTTCACCATACACAATGACCTTAATATCTAATATGTCGTTGAAGTAGAGAAAAACCGCTACAAGAAGTTACACAATTGTACTGTCACCCGTGTCAGACACCGTTCGTCTCGCCCCCTTGATAAAATCCTTCCTGATGATTGAAGCGTCACGGTCCCATCATTTTCGCACTTTCATCGTACTATTCTAACCCAGAGGGAATAAGGATAACAGTAAAAATTTTCATAAAAAGTCAGTGTTGATTGGGATTCGATGAACGGTTGAAGGGTTCACGTTTCACTAAAACGCGTTTCGGCTTCGCCCAATGTCTTCCAGTTACTCACTGGATATGGCGTGAATCTAGCCAGAGTAGATGGAATAAACATGTCAAAAACAACTCTCGCTGCACGTTCCGTTACTGTCGAACATTAAACTTTTCTGTTGAAGGAATTAATTATCTCCCCTTAAAAAAAATCCATCACGCGCTAAACCAGTTCGCTCTCTGCTTGGCCATTTATAAAAGGGGTTCGATAATAACAGGTGATTCTGAGGCGCATTCTCCCTGCTATATATAGTGCCATGGAATTAATCCCTTAGTGTCCTCTCAACCGGCCGGATTGCCATCAGATAATCGTAAATGATGTTCTTATTTCTGACATCTAATCTCAAAGAAACGCAAAGATGTTATCTCTTTAAAAGTGGTCAGCATTAAATTTTTAAAAAGTCTCTTCGGGGTTAGCTTTTAATTTATTTTCCTAAACCATGCGCCAAGTTTTTTATTCAACTATTCAACAGTATTTTCAAGGTACATTTAAATTTACCTAATTTCTATAAAGGGTGATTATGACTCTTCTATCCAGCATATTTTTTCTTTCGACTTGCTTGTTAGTTGTGAACTTAGGGACTGTCTGGTAAAATTGGCGGGAGCCTGCGCGCGAGAGAGAAAACGAACTTCATCAAATCTTTATCACTAGTTCATTTTTGTGTACATCATGCCAATTGAGCAAAATAAAAATGTACGATGTACAAAAAAATAAACCCTCGTTCACTGTTATTTATGCGAGAGCCGTTTAAAAAGTTATAAAATCAGCGAAATATAGCAAAACCCATAAACTGATCAAAATTATCACACAATTCTTTCAATGGCCAAAAATAAAAATTTAACCCACCATAACCTTATACTCAGAACTTTCCGATAGAACAAAATTTATCAGTGCGAAAGGCTTAAAAAAAATATGTTATCAAATCTACCTCATACAGGGCTTGAAGAAGGAAAAAAGGCATTATATATCAAACGTATTTACTTACCGAAAGTACCCCAAATTGGGCAGAGGAGAATGAAGCTTATTGTTAGTAGCATGCCAGTATTTCAATACTTCGCCGGAGTCTGAAAATTTTGCTAATCTGACTTTTCCATTTATACAACGATACGATGTTCATAACGGGCTTATCGAGGCCGTCTATAGGATTATAAATTGACAATCTTAAGCAAACCGCACTATCCATTCTTCCGTTCAGCGCGCAATTATAAGATAAAGTCATGAATTTAAGGACCAGGATAATCTAATAATAATAGGTTACAAACGTGGCTAGAACAAAGAAAGTCTTAATGAAATCATAACTGTAAGTGTTAAAATAAAGTTTTGACTTCTGGGAAATAAAATTTTTTTTTTAGGTTATGGAAGCTTCTGCAGCTATGAAACCCGTACCAACGTCCAATTCATCTACAGGATCCTAAGAGGAATTTGAATTATAAAGATTAGATGAAGGTTGGAACATTCGGCCGAACCTCAAATTTGATGTTGCATGTCTAAATGGTGATGTAAATTCAGCAGAGTACGTTTTGATCGTTGCTCAGCAGTCTGAACAGTCCAGCGGATTACAGTACCTGATGGGCGAAGGAAATTGTGGTAGGTGTAAACAATTGTTATCCTTCGTTTGGTGAAAGTAACTCGTTCACATTTCCACCGCTTGAACCACTGTTCAAGGAATGTGAGATGGGTTTGCAGGTTTCTGGTTGAGATGACGGAATCTTTATGAGAGCAACGAATGGCGATATGATCCGGGTAAGAATGCCTGCGGTGTATAGTGTGTAAAGAATGGTTACTGAAATAATTACTTGGGGTACCTATGGGTGCGTTAGCCGGCTGATAACTTGATGGTGTCTGTTAAGTAAGGACCCTCTTAAGCTGTCAGAGCTGCCGTATCCTACACGATCGAAGAATTACTTCACATCTGTAGGAATACGCCGGAGCAGCACTCCTTACCCTAAAGAACGTTAGCGATGATGTCTACATAGTGATAGCACTGTTGAATAGTAGGTTCCATTTAAATCGCTGCAATGGTTATCCTTTTTAGGGTGAAAGTGACATGTTTTAACGTTTCAAGGGATGTGACATGGGTTTTCAGGTCTCTGGTTGAAATGAATGAATCTTTATTGGATTGCAAAAGATGGCAAAATCATCCGGGAAAAGTTAGGAACGTTTGCAGTGAATAGTGTGTAGAGGATGGGTCCTAAGATCCTTGCAGAGGATGAGTAGTAAAGGAGGGTAAAAGTTCCACCATTTGAACCACTGCCCGCGGAATATGACATGGGTTTCTGGTTCTGATGACGGTGATATCTATGAAAGCAAAGGATGATGAAATCATCCGCCTAGGTGTTAAGGATTGTTTCAGAATGGATAGTTGTTTAGTGTGTTGAAGATCGGTCATAAGATAATCGTTGGTGTACTTCTGCATCTGTGCAATAGCATAACAATAAAGTGGATCTACTAATTGCCTGCCGTTCTCAGGTAGTATCCAAATACTACTCTCCCCTTCACTCTCACTTCTGAGGTCCCTTAAGTTGATTCTGCTTATCTTTTTTGTTGTTACATTAATGACTTACCTAGATCCATGAATTACTGATCCCATCAACTTTATGAGGGTGACTCTTAAATTTACCTTTCCTTTCTAGGACATAGACTCAATTATCTCCTGCCAGCAGAGTATGAACTTTAACAATAAAAAGTCCCAGGCTAGTGCGTTGGTTCCAGTTTCCTCCTCCAATCCTTACCGTTAACAATTAACAATCGCCCTACTTCCTTCTGTCCCACCATCAAGAACATTGAGATTGTCCAGGAAGGCTAATATCTCACAGATTTCCCGACACTGCTTTTCCACCCTCCATCAGTTCCGTGTACCATCCACCTTCTCCCCTTTAGTACGCGTAAACTGCAAGTTTCCTCCCTTGTTCTCCTCAACTTTGATTAGACGTATTGAGAACTGGAAGGCTTGAACATAACAACTAACATACAAAGGTCCCATGTGAATGATCTGTACTCCGACTTGAAGTAGTCATACCTATCCTGGCTCCGTCCCCTGTAAGAAATCTTATATGATCTCACCTTCAGATCTTCTGTGCTTCCTGTCAACCCCATCCTCTAAACAAAGACTACGATCAGTCCTTCCTCATCCGTGCCTCTAATTTGTGGAATTCCGTCCGTTACTCTATCAGACGAGCCCCTTTACACCTCGTACAACTTGGCACCGAATATTTGTAATTGCCCCTTTTCAGTAAACAAAAAGTTTTGGACAGACTTATCAGGCCTGAAGCCTTGCAAATTAAATATTTTTAATTTTATTTCATTTACATCGTGACCCTGCAGAAGCGCTATGCTCAATGTATAATTTCACTGCATCATCTTCTGAATTGGACTGCACTGGTAATGGGGCAATTTCCTTTTACAATTCCAGCCGCGTCAAGGGTTATGCGTCAAAAGCACCCACAATAACTGTATAAAGTACGAATCAAGGACTATGTGTCCAAAAACAATGAAGAAATCGTAGACATATTGAAATAAGGCTAAGTTTTAATTTTGCTTTGTCAGAATTTAATCAAGACGTTGCAATTGATAATAACGTTAGAAATTAAAAGAACTTTATCTTACGAAACCGACTAATAAAAAGAAGAGAAACAAGTCCCCTCAAGGACTTAAATATCCTACTTCCGCTCAATTTATAAAGCACACTATCTTATTAAATAATTCCTGGTTATAAATTTAATAGTTCACTTATTATATTTATAATCTTCATTTTATCATAAGATGGAAATTTCCAGTTTTTCTAATTTTAAAGACCGTTGGGTTGAAGGTTTGTTTTCTTTTTTAAACGTATAATTTCACCAACAATCCCTATGTCTGTTTCGACTTAGTAATTTATTAGTAAGAAATATTTCAAACGTCAACATCGCTAATTTCATAGGAGTGATGGGCTTTTTAATTACGCTCACACAAATAGGACAAGAGAAAACAAATCATTTACATGAATATGTAATAAAGACAGGAAGTGGTAAACACACGGAGAAGTGCGCAATTTGATGGACCTTCTTTCATACCGGCCCGTCTTTTCCGCGATACCAGGTGTATCATTTCGCGTGTTGTACTGCTAAACGAATTTGTGATTCATTGACTATATATAATTTTTATTAAATATATATGTTTTTTATTCAGATAATTGACTAGAAAATTGTATAATATAAAATGAAGAATTGGCCAAATATGTTGATCATTTTTGGGTTTTGAAATGAAAAACAGCCTATTTTTTGGCGATTTCAGCTTCCATTCGCGCAGAATCGCACGACATNTCGCACAAGATCGCTCACAGTTTAAACAGGTCGCACACCAACCCAGAACCAACCCCCTGCACTCAATCGCACGGGATCGCTCGCAGTTTGAACCGGTCGCCGATCCTTGTCAAATCAATGACAGCTGCTTTCTTTGTGATTTCAGCTTCCACTCGCATGATATCGCATCGCATCACCCTTTAATCTTGGCCTCGAAAAAGGACCACCTCGAGAGAGAAAATCCATGGTTTTAGAAAATTATTACATCAAAATTTCGGAATCTTGACAATTTCAGGTATTTTGTTTGTTTTTAAAATAAAGAAAAAAATTCGTTTGACTCCTTTTCCAAACGACCGATCCAATTGATCTCCATGTCATTTGCTATGAACATTTGATTGATTTTGTATATTTGAAATCATTTCGTTGTTTATCAAGAATTCTGCATTCGATCATTATCTTTGTTGTAAAGCAGTTATTAGTTGCCAAAGTAGTATGGACTGTGCCGTCTGTGTGCCGTCCGCTCAAAAACGCATTTAAGTGGCGGGCACACCCCGGACTTAGTAATTATTCACTGTTCGGTCCTTAGACCGTTCTGGAAATTTCAAAATTAACACTCGCATTTTTCTCCATGGCTATTAGCCAATTTTCTACGGATCGGCATGCCAAGGAAATTACCCGGCGACGCAAGATGAACGATGCCAAAGACGATTTCCCTTAATAAAACAATTTAAAAAATCTTTGCAAATTAAAACCACTTATATTCTCTTTTGTCATAGGATTGTCATTTTTCTGAAGATGTACGTGTATTAGAACGTTTGGATTATTCTCTGACTTTTCCTTGTCCACCCCACCTGCGTATCTAAAATTACTTTGCTATAATTAACCTCTTAAATTTTTCAAACTTTTTTTTTAATTTATAAAGAAGACTTTCTAAGTTCAAGACAAAATAAAATTATTTTTATATACCTAGGTTTTATTACGTAAAATGGCTAGGGATATAAATTCACAGTTAAGAGATCGAGAAAGATTTCAATCATCGGGAAATAAAAGGTGGAAAGAATCTTGTAAAACTACCGAGACAAGCAGGATAGGAATATCAAGAACGTATAAATAACGAAAATATTTAGTGTTAGGATGTGGAAATTGTTTGAATTCTTCCCAAAGCTTATTTACATATGTCGTTTTCCCTTAAGCCAGAGCATAGCAGACTCGTCCGTTCAAAAGAGATCAAATCTTCCCAGGATTCTCGATTCTTTTTTTTATGTCTAGGATATTTGGCATTTCCGTCAGTTTGATTTTTTTTTAAACATATAACTTAACCTATACGGAATTCCATGATAATCAAACGCTCATCTTTTCAGCAAATTTGAATCCTTTCCTAACATATGCAATTAATTGAAGGCATGCTGAACTGTTAAGATTTCTGCATGTGTCTGCGAGACGATGAACCGGTAATTGGGTCGTTCCAGATCATTTTGGTCTGCCTCCAAAGCACTGAAGACGGCATGAAGCCGAAACGCGTTTGACTCACACGAAATCGACGAGAGTCGACGGACCCAATAAAGTGTTCAGAGTCTATCAGTTCAAGTGCAGTAGATTTTTGTAACTTAAATATTGAGTTAAACTCACCAAATTTGATATCGTCATGGTAAAACTTCTCGTTATTTGATATGTTTAATTGACTTTTCACTTATAACAGAAAGCCGAGACATGTCAGCTATGTAAACCTGGTAAAGTGTGCGACCCAAAACGCCACCTTGATGTACACCAGCAAGATATTCCTTCCAATCGCATGGGATGTCG